CCAAACGTCCTGCACGGTGTTGGGCTGTAAGCACAACCACCACCTGTGGACGTCGGGCCCTCATACCACCCTCATGGAGTCTGTTTCTGACCGTTTGAGCAGACACATGCACATTTGTGGCCTGCTGGAGTTAATTTTGCAGGGCTCTGGCAGTGCTCCTCCTGTTCCTCCTTGCACAAAGGCGGAGGTAGCGGTCCTGCTGCTGAATTGTTGCCCTCCTATGGCCTCCTCCACGTCTCCTGATGTACTGGCCTGTCTCCTGGTAGCCCCTCCATGCTCTCGACACTACTCTGACAGACACAGCAAACCTTCTTGCCACAGCTCGCATTGATGTGCCATCCTGGATGAGCTGCACTACCTGAGCCACTTGTGTGGGTTGTAGACTCCGCCTCATGCTACCACTAGAGTGAAAGCACTGCCAGCATTCAAAAGTGACCAAAACATCAGCCAGGAACTGAGAAGTGGTCTGTGGTCACCAACTGCAGAACCACTCCTTTATTGTGGGTGTCTTGCTAATTGTCTATAATTTCCACCTGTTGTCTATCCCATTTGCACAACAGCATGTGAAATTCATCGTCACTCAGTGTTGCTTCCTAAGTGGACAGTTTGATTAACTTGGAGTTACATTGTGTTGTTTAAGTGTTATCTTTATCTGTTTGAGCAGTGTGTGTGTATATATATATATATATATATATATATATATATAAAGCAAAAAGGAAAGAGATGCACTCTCAGGTCTTTGTAGAAAAAAAAACTCGATATTATTTAATAACAGGTAACATATCTGATCGACGTTTCGACCTCTTCAGGTCTTCCTCAAGATCAATATACAAACATATACAACACAAATATATAGGCAACATAGGAGGAGTTTAAAAAGAAAAAAGGAGGAGTACCAGCGCTAATATTTCAAAATATTCTAACAATGCACAAGGAATATATCATAAAATAGCTGCTATAACATCAAGATATCTTTAAAAATAGAACTTGCAAAATAGAACATAGATGTAGCGCTATGTTTGGTTATATAAAAATGGAGATAAAAAGGCGATACCTTACAGAGTCTTTTAAATTTAAATAAATCTTCCCAATTTGAGTTTCTAAAAAACATAAGAGAAAAACGGAACGGACATAGTGTATACCGTATAATAAAATTATAATAATAGAATCAAAAGGGTAAAATCCCACTCACACTTTTTAGAGCTATAATATAATAGCTCAATTTCAGCGCTCTTGGGGTTCAGTAAAGGCAACCCTCACCCTTCTTGAATCTCAGTGCTTCTGATGTTCTATTGAAATGAAACAGAACAGATATGGTGCAGTACCGTTGATCTTTAAAGGAGGATAATAAACCAAGATGGGGTACTTACAAACTTAGAGCCATCCAAATCGGCTCTGATCTGTGCATTTGTGTGGTTAAGGACCACACACCTTCTTTAGGAAAAATATAGCAGGGATAATGCCAATAGTATGTAAAAGTATACAATATTTATTATAACAGTAACATTATAAAATATATATATATATATATATATAAATAATAAAAAAATATATAAAATAAAGTTGGCATATAAAAATCCAAAGATCCAAAGTCTCACAGTCTTTATTCCAGGACGCGTTTCGCCTATATCGGCTTCCTCAGCTGGATAGTAGTGATGTAGTCTTCCTTGGGATTCTCCTGCTTTATGTACCCCTCTCCTGGGTGGATAATTGATGTTTGGCTTGTATTTTCGCGGGCAATCACCATAGAAACGGTGATGCCCTGCGTCTCAAGCCTCTTCCTCATTCTTTCTTCCTGATTTGAGCTCCGTCGCGTCACTTCCGGTTTCGCTGATACGTCATTTCCGTGCGTTCCACTATGCGCTCCACGGGTTCTTTCTTCCTCTCAGACAGATTGGCACATATATACATGGGCAAAAAGTTACAACTCAGTAATTTACAGACTTCTTTTCCAATTTCCACACAACAGAACCAACTAGTGTATATTTATGTAAACGAAAAATATATCTCTAATAAAAGTAATATCATAAAATCATTTAATGGAACACTGATCATTTAGTATGTATACAAAAACACATGACAATAGAAAGGAATATCAATGTATATTTAAATCTTCCCTTTTTAAAAATATATATAGAAAAAGGTGCATAAAAATAATTTAAAAAAAAACTTTTTATATATATGCATCTAAAATAGTTTATATAGAACAATTCTATTAAATTAAGGGAGGGTTCATCGGTATATAAAAAAGTCCAATTTAAAATAGCATATAATTTAAGACCAAACAAGATTTTTTTTATAAAATATATATATGGAAATGTGGAAAAAGGCTGGAGGGATTAGGAGGATATAAAAATCAAATTCTTAATGATTATCAATTATTTATGTTAAAAAATGGCACATTTGAGTCCTCACTATTAGTGGTGATCACTGTATTGCGTTTATATCATGCTATTTGGTAGGTATTATAGTTCTGTATATTTCACAGGGCTTTATGCCCTTTCACTCCATTGCACAGATAATTCTCTGCCTAATCCGAGCTGTTTCATGTTCACTACATATTTGCTCGGGTTTAGTTTACCCGTTTCCTAGCAACCACATCATGTAATGGCCACGCCCATACGTCACATGATACGCGTCACATGACGCTTCACTTACACTTCCGGGTTCGGACTAATGGAAACCGGTGTGCACTGTTTGTTTGGTGAGTAACTCCTCCTATGTTGCCTATATATTTGTGTTGTATATGTTTGTATATTGATCTTGAGGAAGACCTGAAGAGGTCGAAACGTCGATCAGATATATGTTACCTGTTATTAAATAATCGAGTTTTTTTCTACAAAGACCTGAGAGTGCATCTCTTTCCGTTTTGCTTTACATATCCAGCGTGGGATTGCACCAAGGCAGTTTTTTACTGATTCATTGAAAGGGTGAGTGCCACTATACTTGTGTGTATATATATATATATATATATATATATATATTCTGTATTTTGTATATATATATATTTTATTTTTTTTTTGTAGTTGGGGCAATACAGCCATAATGAAAGTAACCTAGCACATTATAATCATAGACATATATAACTTTTACACCAGTCGGTTGTGGTATGCCGGAACCGACAAAGCAGTAGGCCTGTAATAAAGTGGAGAAAAAAGTGCTCAGTGTAAATAGGCGCTTAGTGGAAATGCAAATTAAAAACAGCAGCTCAAAACATGTGCAGGTATCCCAATCCTACACAAACAGATATGTGAAAAAAAGAGTGTGAACTTCGTAGATGTACTACCACCACAAAGATCACTCTGTGGAGCGCTAGAGATAGGGAAATATCTTACCCCTATATAAATATCGTATATATCACTTTAACAGCATACAAAATCTAGAACAGAGAAATACGAAATACACATCATAGTGCAGAATGATTGTAAAATGTGTATGGAGTGGAGGAGAGTGTAAGTCCAACTCACATGGCACAGAGCCTAAGGATGGTCTCGAATCACAACAGCTTGGGTATATTTAGGCAATACCAGACCTCCTCCTGATATGCAGCTCGCAGAATATATGGAAGAGAAAAGAGGTAGAATTCCTAGTGCAAATACGTATGGTAGGAAGAGTGATCACAAAAAGTCATATGAATGTGCTCACCTGAAATAGAGCTGATAATATTAGGCTCTATATATATGCGCTGTAATAAAGTGGGCCCACCTTAGAGGGTGATATGATTAGAGGGAGTGGTGGGAGGGGTGACTCGCCAGACCTTCAACGGTAAGGTGGGAGAGGATTGGGGTTTCAAGCCCCTCCCACAACTACAGGCCAAGGTCTTAATATTTGTAGTCGGGCAATATAGCCGTAATTAAAGTAACCTAGCACATTATAATCATAGACATATATGACTTTTACACCAGTAGGTTGTGATGTGCCGGAACCGACAAAGCAGCAGGCCTGTAATAAAAGTGGGCAAAAAGAAAAATACCATACAACATTATTCATGTAACAAACTGCCTTTATTTGGATAAGTCACGAAAAGCTTGTCTTAACCCTAACTGGGTTTGGAATATAAAGAGTGTAGGCGGAGAATTTCCAGCGCCACATAGCCTTGATGAAATGAGCAGGAATGTGATTTGCGCAAGCTGAAGAAGCTGCCCCTATGCGGAAAGAGTGTCCTGAGAAAAGATTTGCATTTAGACCAAGCCTAGTAAACAGCAGATGAACATAAAGCATGATTTTTCCTGTTGTAAGTATGTAGCTGTGAAGTTCTAATAAGGGTTGGTGGGGTTGTTTCTGGACAGTAATGAGATAAGTGTCCAGGACTTTTACAGGGCACCATTTGTTTTAAACAGGGTACAAGGCAATTTTTACAGTATGTCCTACAGTGCTGGTTTTCGATTGATTTAAAGATAGAACATAATGATCTACGGTTTTCTGTAAGTCAATAATTCTCAGATAGTCCACAGTAGTTATATTTCTAGCTGTAAATTCATTGGGTCGTAAGAACCCATAAAATGCTAGGTATATGGCCATTTTGATCACCATATTGGTCATGTGTTCGAAAGGAGCAGAATCTAGAAAGTCGGATAGTGAATGAAAAATGTCATTGTGTATGGGTAGTTTTTGAGATGGAACGTGTGTATCTATTTTTTTAATTCCTTTCAGTAATGTCTTTATCTGATATGATGAAAGGAATCCTGTACTGTTGGGTTGTCGTATTAGCATGTGGTGTTGGATGCCCGTAAGGTACAGTTTAATTGTGTTAAATGATAATTTTAGGTTAAGGTGGCAAAAGGAAGTGAACCTTAATATAGATTCCAATGCAAACATGTCAAGAACTTGAAAATAAATTTAGTGAAAATGTGAAAAGCCCTATCGTAAGATTTTCTAGTGTTGACAGAAAGTGCAAGGTGAGAAATGTGACGTGCATGATTCAAGAAAACATTTAATGCATGAGCATGTCTTGAAATGGTGGGGCAGGAGTAGCCAGTCTGGAAGCGGTGGGTAGTGTCAGGAAGAAAGCCTGAAAATGAAACCGAGACAAATGATCAGCTGAGATGTTTGTGCACCCTGGTACGTTAATATATGTGATAAAAAATTGGCAAGTGGCTGCTACCCATGTGAGTTTTCTCAACAATCTCATGATGACCAAAGATGAAGACCGGCCTTTATTCACAATGTGGCAAGTGGCTAAGTTATCTGAGTAACATCTGACCGAGTGACCGGACCATTTTGGTCCCCAGGCAATGGCAGCTGCCACGATCGGATATAACTCAAACAAGACAGAAGTAGCGGAGAAGCCGCGCAGGGACTTAATGTCTGTAGGCCATGATCCCCAAAGCCATTGATCTCCCCAGATGGCAGCAAAACCAGAGTTTGCCATGGCATTTGTCCAAAGAGTGGGTGAAATATCAGAGAGGGGGGAATAAACATGGCTCGCCCATTCCAAGATGTAAAGAAAACCTGCCACATAAGTAAATCAGAGGTTGCGTGATTTTCTAATGTCATAAGTGAAGTGTCTGAGGTGAATTGTGGAAATAAAGATAGTAAACGAGAAATTAAGGATGTACCCTGTGGGATGATTCTTATGGCAAAATTGAGCGATCCCAGCAGCAATTGAAGTTCCTTGCGGTTGCAAGAACCTAGTTGTAAGTAGTGTTCAATGCTTGATAGGGTGCGCTCAATCTTATCCTGTGGGAGGCTATCTTGCATGTGGATAGAGTCCAGTTGGACCCCCACAAATTGCACGCTAGTGTCTGGACCTAAGGTCTTGTGAGGGGAGACTGGGATAGTCAGAGATTCAAAAAGAGCCAACATGTGTGTAAGGCTACTTGGAGGGAGTGTGTTATTTTCAATCGTGAGTCTAGGTAGTGAACGGAAGGACATCTGCACACATTAAGCAATGACCAACACAAAGTTTCTGCAAACGTGTAAAAAATTTGGGGGCTGCTTTTGGAGCCAAAAGTGAGTTGTGTGAAAAAATAATAGAAACCCATGCCACTTAATGCCGTATAGATGCCATAGTGAAGGGTGAATGGGAAGTAGTTTGAAAGCATTTACTACGTCAGTTTTACTGAGCCATGCACCTGTACCAGCCATTAAAATGGCCCCAATGGCATTGTCGATAGTGGCATACTGTAATGAAAATTGTTCGGAGGGTATGAAGGAATTAAGGCTGGGAATAGTGGAGGAATGTGGTGCTGATAAGTCAATTATCAGTCTGGGTGAGGTTTTCCCCGTGACAACCCCTATGGGGTTGGTTCTCCAAAATGTGAAAGGTGGGGAAACGAAAGGTCCCAACAAAAACACTTGCTCTACCTCTGTCCTAATAAGTGTACATACTAATTCTGGATCATTTAAAGTGGTTTGTAAATTGTTACATTCTAGTGTACCTGTTGGCAAATGTACTAAACCCGTGTGGAACACCTCAGATGGTCCAGTGATAATAAATTTAACCAAATGGTGTGATGGGTGTTGTTGCAACAGTGCAGCCAATAACGTGACATTGATGCAAGTTTGATAAGGTTTAGGGAAAACTTTATTCGGGCACATAGACTTTGAAAGAGCCCTGAAACAATGGGAACACACGTGCAATAACCTACAAGTAGCCCCACTAAAATTATTGCAAATCTGAGATTTGCCCAGGAACACGCTGTACCTACCCAGTTCTGGTAGGTTTTAGGAAATTAGGGACAGAGTGGCCCTGTTCAGTTTCTGCCATATTAGGGCAGAAGTTAGTACTATGTTCCGTAGATGCACACACTGCACAAGCCGGGGGTCAGAGGCCTGCAAAATGTCTGCAGAATAACTCAGTGTCTAGCTTACTCCAATTTATGCTGTAATTGAACTGAGTCAGTGCTGCAGCCACTTTTGCGGTGGTAAAAAATCATGACTTATGACATTCTGTGGTTTCTGAGGAGACGATTGCAGCTTCCCCCATTAACCCCCCTTCTGATGTCCTAATGTTTTTATATTATATATATATATATATATATATATATATATATATATATATATATATATATATATATATATATATAGCAGTGTGACCTCACCCATCCGGTTTTTGGTGCGCAAGTCACAAAGCTGTCTTTACAAAGTAGTATATAATCTGTAAGCTTACACAATAAAATAGGGAAGTAATCTTTTAATCAAAAACGGTCTGGTCTGATTACTTTCTCCGAGAAGCTCGTAATGTAAAGTGTAATTTGGTTTCCACCTGAACATATCTCCGGGTGAATTAATATCTTTAACAATTGGTGCTGAAACCCGAGAGGAAACAATCCATTCCATTCGGACGAAATACTGGGAAACCGAGGGTTGTAGACACTGACTCTTAAGCTGCAGCGGTAAGAAAAATGTTACTTTTCTACCTATCTAGATTCACTCTCTATTGAGCTCTCTGAGTCCTAAGTCTGGGTGAGTAGGGATTTAAATAGGTCTCCTTCTAAAGAACTTGTTTTCTGAGGTTGGTTATGTTCAGGTGGAATGTCTTGTGAAAGAAATCTTGGAATCTTGAGATAGTAGAATATATCTGTGGGTTTTAACTTTGTTTGCCTTGTCATTTGCTTTATAGTTTAATAGTTAGAGTAAGAATCCTCCAAGGCAGATCTCTGATCTGTGTTTATATAAAGAAGACAAAGACTGAAAATTCCACTGCAGTGGTCCTAAGTGTTTAAACACTGTTTGTATAGTCTTGGTTAAGGAAGTAATTACCCCTTACATGTTAGAGAAGGGTAACTCAAAAATGACCCAGGAGGAGGAGTTTACAGCTCTAACTATCGTTAATCATCTTAAAGGAAGGCAATAAAGAAATTACTTAAAGCTGGCATGCACTCAGAGGGCACTCTTGACCCACAGATATGGAAGGAATTTATGAAGTCTGCCAGGTTCTCCCTATCACTTTCAGTAGGTGAGCAGTCTCTTGTATGGTAAAGATGACGACTCCGGTGGAGGAGGGCGTGTAGGGGGGTTATAGTTTTACAGTTTCTTTCCAATATATATCTATATATTTGTTGATGGTTATGTGTGGGTGGTGTTCTATATATGTTTCACCATAAGGGATTTTTTGGTAAGGGTACAGCCCTCTAATCACATTTATCATTATATCTCTGACTATTTCTCCAGTCTCCTATTTCATAAAGTATGAGTTTGTTTTTCTGTTTATATTGTTATGGATTATTTCACATGGGATCTATATGCCTGGGATGATTGTTATGTCTATACTATAAGCCCACTACGCTTTCCATAAGAGTGGGATATTGTGATTGTGTTGCATTGTCTGAATGATGAACCTAGTATTTTCGTACTGGGACAAATTTACTTCATTAGTATTTGAAAGTTAAATCCCCATACGGGATTAACTGTGTAAAACATCAAACACCACATTTTCCCTGCCCTGGGTGTTTCTTGCAGAGGATCCATACTGTAAATATATTATGAACCACATCTACTTTTTCAGTGGTCCAACACATGCTTCATTTTGTGCTGTAAGCTAACTTTTCCTTGCTACAGGTACTCTAAAGGATGCAGTGCATTACTTGCTGAATATGCTTTATGATTCTCTGTAGATTAATCTTTGAGGAAAAAGCTCCCTATTATGACTAATATGGCTAACATTATATGTGTTCTTTAAAATTGTGAAAATCTACAAATTGTTTTACGGGGATGCTGAGATTTCAGTCCTTGTGACCACAAACCTGTGTTGGGTTTGAGTTTTGGTCAGGTATGCAGACTGGATCAGAATATACGTTTCTCTGTGGCTCTTAAACACTCAACCGGATCGATCCAATAAGGTTTGCCATGCCTAACATGGTCTAGCATAATAATGTTAGGTCCCTGAGAGTTCGGGTGATAACATGTCTTTGTAATCTGGTCCAAATATTTGCTCAATTTCTATAAGATTTTGGATGATGTAGCATCATCTCAGATCATTTTTTTTTTTTTGGAAAGGGTACAGATCTTGCAATAAGTTACACGAATATGTAAGACGAGAGCGCTATATAAAGGGATCCCTTCTTTATAAACAATACTATGGTAGATTAAGTAATAAAGGTATTTAAGGAAATACATGTATACATAAGAAACCCTAGAATAAATCTGATACAAATTAAAATTGGTATACCTTACAATAATATGTTCTGAATACAGATGTTAGGAGTTTATTCTGTGGTGCCTGTGTAAATTTAAGTTATTCTGTGTAATTGGTATTTTACTGTGTTGTTTTAAAACATATTTTAATCTTTTTGTCCCAGTCTATTGATACAGATGGAAATGCCAGCCTAATAACCTATTTGTAACGGATCGCCTGGCACCCCGACTGGGTACCTCCGTTAAAGGATGCTCCTAGCGCTTCCAGAGGACTCCAAGCACTGCAGCAGACACCACAACCACCGAATTGTAGGAGCATATGAGTGCTCTCAAGCATATGAATGCTGTAGACAGTTGAATAGGAACCATACGAATAGGTTTACTCTCCTAGCAGTCAAACTGGAACAGCATACAATAAATCCTTCCCCCAATAATGAGACGACACTTCACTTTGAGGGTTAAAACAGGAACTCCCTGTACTGTCACATACAGTCTCTTTTATTCCCAATCCACAAACATAGTACAGCCCACAGGGCGTTACAAAACAACCAATCAATCCGTACAATACACCCAGACACTCCCACACAAAATCCTCCCCTCTGCAGGTGATATGATTACTGAACACAATGGGTAATCTCATTATCACCGGCAGAGGAATACAGTTTTTATACAATATTTATAACTTCTAAAATATACATGTCACAAACATAAAACATACATTTTCATAATCAGTCCATTCAGGGGAACAACATATTAAAAAATGGCACGAATCAGACAAGGGGTTCAAAAGTTAAGGGAAAGTCCTTTGTGACTAAATGAAGCATGGCTTTCTGGCCCAAACCAGTTTCAGAGTCTTCTATCCTGGAGAGTAATTCAATTATCTCCCAGGACAGACACAAGACTCCATTAAGCACATGGTTGCAAAAGACACAAAACACTTTAAAATACATAAAGTCACATTTACACATAACACACAGACATTTCACATATCCCCAGATAGCTGGGATCTGAGTGCACATTATTAGATGAATGGCACTCAGATCACACAAATAAGCCTTTCTGCAGGGGAAATAAACGGTTTAACCTGCAGGGCCATAGTCCAAAGGGAGCAGGCGAGCAACCAGGCTTCTCCAGTTCACAGTGGCGAGGTTGGTTTCTCCACACTATTAAATAACAGTTTTGTTGGCTGTTGAATACTATGTTATTGCTTCTGTCCAAGAGCAGTGGGAGTTTGAGTAGTTCTAACAGCTCTGATTTTGCCGTCTGTTCTACAGTGTAGCTAATGTATTGCTGTTGCAATAGTCGACTTCCTGTTTTATTCAACTTTCCTGTTCATTTGCCAAGTTTTGTGATCTATCTTCAATGCTGTTTGTCTGCTTCCGTTGTAGTAAAACAGTTTGCAGAAATTTTCATTATTTTTTTAAAGGCTTTTTATACATAGGTATGAGAATGGTGTTGCATATTTAATTGGAAGTGTTAGTTTGGGACTGCATTTGTGGTATGTCACCAGCATGGGAAACTACCTTATGTCTAACTTCTTCTGAAGGACACAGAGTGTGAAATTTGTTAACTTATTTTGGAATGGGTATGGTTTAGTTGCGTGCCCATATTTGCTGGGTATCTATTATGTGTATCTACTACGTCTGTTAGTGCGGACCTGTGTTCTGTTTTGTCAGATGACAACAGGTTTGATATTACAATGATTGTTGAGTTTAAGTTCTATGGGTTTTAATGAATTGGTGTGTTCTGTGGTCCTTCCTTGTTAATGTCTCTTGTTTATGAGTTTAAATAGTAAAGTTAAGAATATTTGCATGTCATTAACGACAGGTAAAATGCTATAAAGCCGGCAAGAATAAATCCACTGCATGCTATCACTCCTGGACATTATTTGATAATAATATGAGACTTTGAGAAAAACTTGTTACATTTCACGTAAAAGGGTCCCCACAAACTTCTACTATTCAAATCGTGGATCCACGTTTCCCTTTGCAAACTGACTAATCCTGAATGTGATTATTTCACAGGGGTGTATTGTCATGTTGGATGTTAATACAAGAGTATTGAATTATTTGGGGTTATTAAAGTAATTAATTGAGATTATCAAATCAAGGTTTAAGTTTAAGAACAGAGTTTTATTGGGAATTATTTCCATATGTGTATGTTAAGATTATGCATATAGATTTTATCAGTTAGTCACTTGTTCGAGAAAGTGTTTTAGTAACCATCCTGTCCAATCAAGTATTTATATAGAGTGAGTGTTTATCTCAACTCACCACCGCCAGCCCCTGTGGCATCCCGTACCCCGGCTGCCCACTGCGTGGACACCGATACTCACCCCGAGGAATATACTGTATGAGGTCAATCCTGTATATGCCGATTCTGAGGATAATAGACAGCAGCACCGACAAGAGGTCAAGGTCGACGGGCAGACCGCCCAAGGGTTACGAGACACTGGGGCTACTATTATGCTGGCACAGAAACACTTGGTTCCAGCCTATAAGCATACGGGCCAAACCGTAACTGTTAGAGTGGCTGGGGGATCTGTATTTTGTCTACCTACTGCCCCCGTTCACCTAGACAGGGGAGCCGGATCCAGTATAGTAAAAGTCGGCATAATGGATGGTTTACCTGCAGAAGTCCTTCTGGGCAACAATTTGGGCCCTCTCACTGTAGCCTACATACCCACCTGTACCGCAGCCACTCACCCCGTGATGACCAGGGCACAAGCAAGGACTGAAAGGACCAGTTCACCAGCCCGGGAGTCTCAGGTAAAACACCCCACGACTGTGACTAACCCCCAGACTGTCATAGCTTGGGACACTCCAGAGGAGTTTGGGAAAGCAACTAGAGAGGATTCCTCCCTAAGAAAATACAGGGAAAAGGCAGAGACAGGGGCTGGGAGATTAGAAAACAAAGTTTTTATGTGGGACTCTAATAAACTGTACCGAGTCATGGAAAAGAAAGGACAGAACCCCCACCGCAAATCTGTTCTGTGGTTTTCGAACGGCACTGTGTGGAAGGTTGACAAGAGGTTTTGTGGCAAGAGCCGGTCTCCGTTGGCATGGATTTATACGAAAACCGCAATAGATTAAATAAAGCTGTTTCATGTAGAATGCTCCTGTTCGTCTGTTTCAAACTCCAGAACGCTGTTCGTCTACCGTACTGGGAAGTAGTACGTAGGGAACTTCCATATAGACTGGGGTTCATGTGAGTGCCCTGCCCAAAACAGTTCCAGGCACTCGACGACCAAGTCCTGCTGGACGCGTTCGGGAGACAAGATGGCCGCCATCCATTGTTCTCACCACGTGCGTTCGTATGCATGAAATGCCGGCCATCTAGGAGCATTCAATTAGTCTGCGGTTTTCGTATTGCTACACAGTGTTCCACGTTCTAATTAGTTCCCAGGGTGGAACGATTTACCAAACAATGAAAAATAAAACGAATAAACAAGGGAAGTAGATAGCAGGGAGTGGAAATAACCGAAAGGTGCTGGGAATTTCTTCACACCAAGCTCTTAGGACTGCATTAGTTCAGGCTCCTGGCTGCCCCAGTCCCTAACAAACAATTTATTGTTCATACAGATGCTTCAATGTTCAGACTGGGGGCAGTTTTAAGCCAGGTGGGAGAGGATGGCGGAGAGCACCCTGTTGCCTAAATTAGTCAAAAACTTCTTCCCCAAGAGGTTAGCTATGCGGCAGTGGAGAAGGAGTGTTTGGCCCTGGTTTGGGCCTTAAAGAAATTGACTCCCTATTTGTACGGACAGGAGTTCACCCTGGTTACAGGCCATAATCCCCTGGTGTGGCTAAACTGCGTTGCCGGGGGCAATGGCCGGCTACTGAGATGGAATCTGGCACTCCAATCGTACAAGTTTACCATTCAGCACCGGCCGAGCAGCAGAACGGCAACGCGGATGGATTATCTCGGCAGACTGACCTTAACCCTGAATAAGAGAGTCTGGACAGCCCCAAGTTGCCCCGAAAAGGGGTCAAGCAGGGTCTGCCAGAGTGTCCCACAAGGAAGGAGCCATGCAACAAAACCCCTCTTTGATTTGCAGTAGTTATGGTGGTCTTGTTCCTTTCTGTGGTGATTATGGTGTGAGTCTTGTTCCTAATGTTTATTTCCTCAAAGTACATGTTCCTGGACTTCATTTGCACTTCTCTCTAGCTGGATTTAATATGGCCCCTGGGGTGTATTGTCTTTTTAAAACTCCATTTGTGCATATTGGATTCTAAAGTACTGTTTCTGCCCCTTTAAAAACTATTGGAAAGTGTAACTGAACTGCTGGCACCCTGACCGGGTACCTTCCGCCGACAGATGCTCCTAGTGCTTTCCGAGGACTCCAAGCACTCTGCCTGACACCATAACCACTGCAGACCCCACGAACCGCCGCAGCTTGGTTGGGGTCTCGCCGTCTCCACCCACTCTGGACCCAGGACCAGGGTCCAGCTTCCAGCAGGTCGACCTCTCTCCGAATTCCAGAGAGCAGGAACAGGAACAAGCTCTTAGCAGAGCTTAGTGATTATACTCTGGGGAGTATAGTGATTATAGCAATCCCCAGAGTGTATTTTCTCCAATCCCCCAAACATGAGCCGAAACTTCATGAAGGTACAAGATGATTTGACTCCAATGAGCGTTTATTACTGCTTATATACAAGTTTTCAGGTCAGAGGCACACCCCCCTGGACCTGGTGGTAAACTGTGACAAAAGGGACACAAACCAATGGGAACACTAATTAACATAATAACACTCTCACATACACAATGAAATCCCTCCTCTCCATCCTGGAGATAATTGGCTTAAGGCACTGCAGTAAACTCAATTATCTCAAGGTACAGAAAATATCTACATTTTACACTAACAGCAAAAATACGTAAAAGTACATAAAAATACATAATTCTTATTTTATTACACAGAACCCCCACATTTAACCTATCCCCAGATAGCTCGGATCTGAGCGCCCAGTCTAGGTGAACAGCGCTCAGATCCCATTTACAGAGTAGATTTTCCACGGGGTAAAGCATAGCAAGGGCTATTGAGAAACCAAGGAGGGACAAAAGCAGTCAGTTCCAACTGGTTTGGCAGTGTGCCTGGGACAACGCCCTGCTGGAGAACAATAGACAGGAAACGGGGGAGGGGAAGAAACACACCTTCCCATGGATTCCAATGGGAAGAAACTGTCTTTAGAAGCCAATAAGCCCCAAATAGTCTTTTTTAAATGGCAATACACCCCAGGGCCATAGTCATGAGGAAGGAGGCTGGCAATCAGGCTCCTCCAAAAGCCGGGGGCAAAGGGCAGCTTGTCACCTAACAATCCAGGGACAAAAGGCATTTCGTCACAGAAAGGATTTGCACTTTCGATGTGTCACTTCAGATACAATCGAAGTGGCCGCCATTCGACATACGAACACGTGGCAGCGGCCATTTTAATTCAGTCAAACGCGTTCAGCGGTGTTTGGTCGTCAAGTTCATGGAACTCAAATTGGATACGAGATGGCATGATCACCGCTGAACTTTACCTTCTCCAGACTTCAACACTTCGACGGAAATCGAAGTGCGTTCAACAATTTGAACGCCACTTGAACTTTGAGCATTTGCACAAACGGCCTCCATTAGTGCATTTGAACGGAACTTAGTATTTGAACTATTGGAAATAGACCAGCCGCACAGCCAAATTCTCTGGAACTGGTTTGGGCATGAAAGTGTGTGTGCGGTCGGTCAATTATGACTTCCACAAAACTTTTGAACCCCTGCTCTGATCTGGGTGATTTTTGGATATGTTGCTCACCCAAATCAGGCTATTCAGGGATGCATAATTTGTGAGGCTATATGGTGTTTTGGGGTGTTTTCTGTGTTTTGGGTAAAAATTTATATTTTCTGCCTGTGGATAATTATGTTATTCCATTAGCTAGCTTAATTATATCACAGGCTTGCTGACTGTATGTGGGAGTGTTACTGTGTTAATTGTAGATTATACTATAGATTTAGTGTAACTATAATCTTAATTTTATTAATGACAGGATGCAAATATTTGCTTAAGTCTCTCTTTACTAGAACTCCACAGCAGCACATTAACATAGAGAAAAAAATCAATCGTAAAAAAGTAAGGAAACCATAAAAGGCCCCTCCCAACTGACTATTTCCTCGTTCAAGCTGCGACAAAATAGAGTACATGAACAATAAACAGCACAATAATAATAGTAGAAGGAATCAAACAAAATAAGTCGATGACCACCATCAGAAACTTGTAACATGTCTCCAGTGGCTGAACCTTGACCTTTATCCTAAAGAAGATCCGGATCTAAGAACCGTAGTCAAACCATTAAACTGAAACGAGATAAACAGAGTCAAAAACTCTGATTAGTGAATGAAATGTACTGTGAAAACATGAATACCCATCATTAATTACTGATAGTACAACTTCCCCAAACACACACTCTCCTCCCCCTAGGAACACAATAACCTGCCCTATCATAGCCCGGGAGAAACAGGCCAACACTAAAGTAGGTCAGCCTAAACAAAACAAAGAATAAGGGGAGGGAGAAACTATATTCGCCTCCTGTCATTAATAAAGTTAACAATAATTCTATGTACAGGCACTCTTTTATCTGTATTGGTGCAAGGTATCAAGGTAGCCCATATACCGCCTAACAAACATATAACAACAAATGATACCGCACTCACTAATTTTGAATATAATTCATTGCTCTATTTAATAATTCATAAATTTTACAAGTATTAAGGCCGTTTGGCCTGTATTTGTGGGAGGGGCTTAAATTAATTCACTCCCCTTATATAAGGGACACCCCTTACCTGACTCATATCGCTTGAGGTCAGCATCAGAATGATTTCCACTTCCAGGTCATCCAGACGCCATTTTACCTGATTACTCCATGAGGTTTTCTAAGCTGAGCTGTGTCAGGAATCCAGCCACAGGCTTTTCCGGCCTACCACCTTCTTTCTTCAATCCATTGCCATGGATGGTGTCCAAGTGACTCACAAACCGTAAGTCGACCTACCCGTTACGCCAGACATCAGTCCCACGGCACCAAAACTGACATAGAAGGCCCGGACATCAGAAACACGTCTGAATGAAATAAGACATAGTAAGAGGGTAAATTTATCCAAAAGTTGACGAAGGGAAAGGTCTTGATTATCAGGCCAATCCCAGAGGAACGACAAAACTGCATGTAAGTCTCAGAGGGAGGAATACTTAGGCAGAGACGGCCGCAATAGTCTCATACCACGAAGAAGCCTGCAGACAGTGGCGTCGCTAGGGGGGGCCAGAGGGGGCCATGGCCCCCGTACATCATACTGTGCCCCCCCTTGGGCCCCCTCAAATGCCGGCAACCTGCTGGCCATGGGTTTCCCTCGGACTGTAATAGCCTGTTACAGCCCAGGGAGGGAATGCAGTGCTGAGCTGCTGGGGCTGTCTGTGGCCGGAGGGAGCACTGATTAGCTCCCCGGCACAGGCCCCGCCCACAAACGAAGCCCCACCTCACACCGATAAGCCCCGCCCCCGCCGTAATGCAGCAGCCCATGCTGCTGCAGAAGATGGCTGCCTGACCCCCCAGCAACAGCCTCCAGTGACAGGTAGGCTTGGGGGG